TTTTCTTTATCAAGGAAAATAGTCTTCGATCTAGAAATGTTAAACATCTCTAGAAGAGGGAAATGATTCTGGAGGAGAAATCCCAGTGAGAAAAATGAGAGAACAATGAATGTAGGTTTATTTCACGGCGAAAGAAGGCATGTAAAATAGTCTCATCAGAATTTGTTGGATGATTAAAATTAACCACTTAGTTCAACACTGCTAGATATAACCTCAGTCTTTGAAAACTCATGGAGAATTCCAGAACCAAAGACCAAAGGCCAATCTGTTTTCTGTTTTTCCCTTCACATGGGAAAGAAACAGGAATTCTGATCCTTGTCAAGATTCTACAAAGGATTATTAAAGAAACTGAATATTTAGAAAAAAAATTAGCAATTATGAGGAGCCACTGGTGTTTACTGAGAAGCTGTGAAAAACAAATGTCATTTCCTTTTCTGGGTGGAGCTATGAGGTTTGTAGTGGCAGTGGACACAGCAGACGTTGTGAAGCTTGATTTCAGGAAATTATTTTACCAAAACTTCCTGTAACAGCTTCGTGGATGAAATAGAGAAATGTTTGCTGAATGATAGAGTACATTTAGAGTCTGTAGAACAGCCTCACCCAAAACTTGAGTAGGGTCCCTAATGATGGGCCACGTGGCTCTGTTCTTGGTCCAGTCCCATCTGACATTTTGTTTTTTAATATTGCATAAAGGTCCAGGTTGCCCATTTATCAATTCTGCAGAAACCCCAAAGCTAGAATTCTGTCAGGTGGATAAAATATTTGGAAGATTTCCCCATGATGGAACAAAATAAACAAGATGATACTTAACAAGTTACATAGACAGTCTTGCATTTGGTTAAGGAAAAGCTGAGTTATAGAGCATGAAATCATCAGACTTCACCAGCACTCATGTGGAAAGACCACACTTGTGGGGCACCTGGGTGGCTGAGACTGTTAAGGGTCCAACTTCAGCTCAGGTCATGATCTCATTGTTTGTGGGTTCAAGCCCCACATCAGGTTCTGTGCTGACACGTCTCCATCTCTCTCTGCCCCTCCCCCTGGTCAGACAGTCTCTCTCTCTCTCTCTCTCTCTTTCTCTCAAAAATAAACATTAAAGAAAGAGAGAGAGAGAGTGAAAGAAAGAAAGAAAGAAAGAAAGAAAGAAAGAAAGAAAGAAAGAAAGAAAGAAAGAAAGAAAGAAAGACAGACAAGAAAGACAAGAAAGACAAGAAAGACCATATTCATTTGCAAGGCAGTAAGAGCCTGGTAAAGACACAGCTGTCAAAAACCTCAACAAGCCCAGGGCTCGGGGCAAAGGTGCAAGAGGATCTCTCCACTCTGAGCTGCTGGTATTTTGTTTGATTCTGGACTTTCCTCAAGTTGCATTCTGGAGAATTAGAGGGCAAGCAGAGGTGGGCAGTGGCTCTTGTTACACAATGACAAATGATGTAGGGGTTCTCTGACAGAACACTCTTTGAATCCTGAGACCTATCTTCAAATACCTGTCTTCAAATGCCTTTTGTGTAAGTGGTCAGTGTTCTCTGTTTTCCTGTGGAGGTAAAACTGGACTTGGTAGCTGGTGGCCAACCCATCGAAGGCCGGTGGAAAGGAGTTGTCTATATTTGGAGTACACAGCCCCGTAGGGAGTCCCATCATCACATGGAGAGTTATCACAGAGGCTGGAGAGGATAGGAGGTAGAGGGAATCCCTGGAACAGATTACCCATGAGGGTTCTTCCATCACTTATGTTATATGATTTGAATAATGGCCATTACCATTTATTGAGCTTAAACCCATGTACCAGATCTAGGTTAAGGTCTTTGTGTACACAGCCAATCCCACTGCATCTTCATAACAGATGAGGAGACTAGACTCAGGGAAGCTGTGTTACGTGTTCTTAGCCCATGTGGTAGCAGGTGGAAGAGTGGAAGTCTGATCCCAAGTTTAAAGGAACTTTTATGTTATATGTGATCTCCGGTCTATATACTTTATTCTTTTGTTCCTGGCTGTGTGGCCATAGCAAGGGGCACATTATATTCTATTTGGCTGTGTGGTGTTGGGATTTCCCACTGAACTACAAGTTCCCAGTCGCCTAAAGAGCTGAAACCAATGCTTACTCATTCCTGTTCCTCAGCACCATGAACAATACTCAGAAGATGTTGGCACTCAACATGTTTATAAGTTCATTCATTGACTTATCCAAGAAACCCAAGGAAGAATAACATCTTGCTAATGTCTCTGCCCCCCCTCTCCCTTTTAATCCCTCCTGTATAAAACTTCACTTAAATTATTCTACTCAGCCACTTTTAGTGTCTTTTTGTGTTCTACAGCATGAAGTACAAGAGTCTTAGCATGACGTTCAGGGACTTCTATGATGAGATCTCCCAGACCTCCCCCTCCACCCCTCCATGCCCACTTGCTCCTGTCTGATCTCTGTGTCTACCACTTTCTGTCCCCTCCCCTTGTCTTTGCTGACACTGTTCCTTCTTCTTGGAAATGTCCTCTCCCCTTCTCATTATTTCCTCTCCAAGTGTTATCCATTCTTCAACACCCCAGTTCAAACACCACATTTCTTGGAAAGCCAACCTCACATCCCGACTGGGAAAATCCTCTCTTCTCTATATTCCCAGAGTGCTTTTATGCTGTTTGGTTGTGGTAAGTGTTTTCTAATGTTCTATTTTATTCTAGTTCTTTAAATCCATCTGATCCAAAACATTCTTTAAAAAAAAATAGAGATGGCAGGCCTTATGCTTTACTATCTCCAAATTTCTCATGACATGTAGCATTGTCTATCATTGTATCCCTATTACCCAAAGAAGTATCCAGTATCTCTTCCATAAATTAGGTGCTATTGGATGAATGAATGAATTTATGGATGGAGGGACAAATGAATGAATTCGTCAGAAGTCAAGATCTGTCTTGTAGTACCAGTTTACCCTAAATTATGTAATTTGGGGCATTGCATATAAATCTCTATGGACCCAAATGTCCGTATCAGTAAAAAGTGGTCACGAAGGCTGAAGTAAAAGGGAACTCATTTTTATGGACAACTTGCTATGTGCAGGGCAATGTGCCAAGGGTGTTACTGGCCTTACAAGCCTATGAGAAGGAGGGAAGGAGTGAGGTGCAGTGAGGAGTGATATAAAGGAGTGAAAAGCCTGGGCTCAGGATAAAGCTCCCTTGAGTTCAAGCCTTGGTTCTGCCACTTACTAACTGTGAGCTTGGGAAAATTGATCTTTTAGACCTCTGTTTTTCTTCAGTTATCAAGTGGTGATAATAAAAGAATCTACTGGTGAGTTTCTTATGAAGTTTAGATGAGATGTCCCATATACTGGGGCGCCTGGGTGGCTTAGTCAGTTGGGTGTCTGACTAGAGCTCAGGTCATGATCTCACAGTTTGTGGATTCAAACCCTGAGTCGGGCTCTGTGCAGACAGCTCAGAGCCTGGAGCCTGCTTCAAATTCTAGGTCTCTCTCTCTCTCTCTCTCTCTCTCCTCTCTCTCTCTCTCTCTCCTTCTGCTTGCTCGCTGTCTTTCTCTCAAAAATAAATTTAAAAACATTAAAAAATAAAAAATACATGAGATGTCCCATAAAATGCACATAGCCCAGTGACTAGCATGTAATCAGAGCATGATAAAAAGTAGCTTCTTACTACTCTATTACTTGTGTGTCTTTTTTTTTTAAATAGTATCTTTAATGCTTATTCTTGAAAGCAAGAAAGAGATAGCGAGTGAGAGAAAGTTGGGGAGGGGCAGAGAGAGAGGGAGACACAGAATATGAAGTAGGCTCCAGGCTCTGAGCAGTCAGCACAGAGCCCGACGCAGGGCTCAGACCCACAAATCGTGAGATCATGACCTAAGCCAAAGTCGGACGCTCAACCAACTGAGCCACCCAGGCACTCCTACTTGTGTGTCTTATTGTTAATTTTAACCAATGAAGAAGCAAAGGCTCAATGTCACACATATGTTGTATGCACTGTTTTCCCCTCTGCCTATGGGATACGCCAGTATAAATCCTTCTAGAACACCCGTGAGCCACTATACAGCCTTGTATTCTCATTTCAGGGTGAAATACTAAAAAGCCATCTCCATGTCCCTGCTTCTCAGATATGATTAGATTTTAACGTTTTATTATGTAAACATTTAGCATCTAACATTGGACATCCAAAAGCAGCGTCAGTTTTTCTTATGGTTATTCTTATGTTTAATAAAGGTCATAATCTAAGTTATAAGAAGATACGAATGTAACTCTCCCAGTGAGACTCAAAGCTAGTAACTTTTTCCTCCCATCATTTGGCTTTTCTTTGTGTAAAAACTTAAAATGCCGGTCACCACTCCTCTGTAATTAAATGTGGTGTGAGCTACCCTGTCCTATGAAGGGAGGCATGCCCCACCTGAGCACCCGATAATCATTGGATTTGGGGAAGGAAAAGGAGGAGATCATAACCTGCAGAGTTACTAGGGTTTTCTTTGATGGGGATTTTGATGTATAAACATACAGAAGTTTGGGGCGCCTGGGTGGCTTAGTCCGTTAAGTGACCCACTTCAGGTCATGATCTTGCGGTCCGTGGGTTTAAGCCCCACGTTGGGCTCTGTGCTGACAGCTCAGAGCCTGGAGCCTGCTTCAGATTCTGTGTCTCCCCTTCTCTCTGCCCTCCCTTGCTCATGCTCTGTCTCTCTCTCAAAAATAAATAAACATTTAAAAAGTTTTGAAAATATACAAAAGTTTTACCGGTAGATCGGAGACGTTTCATTTACAACAGGACGTTATCAAGATTAGGTGACCCTTGGAAGTAAAGTATTCATGCCCTAAATGCCCAGGAGAACCGCCCCCAGAGCACACACAGGTGGGTTTTATTTGTCACGCCTGCAACCTGAAGCATCAACAGGCCATCAGGGGGCTGCCGCCTGCTGAGCCCTTTTCTGCTACAAACATGGCCCACTAAAGTAGCTCCGAAGCAGGTTGATCGTGGAGAGAAAAATGCCAATCTAACCCATTTGCTGTTGATTTCTTAAGCAGATTCAGGCACACAGGATGAAGCTCAGCTTTTGCAGGAATGGTTTAAGCTGGTTCTGGAGAAGAATAAATTAATGCGATATGAGTCGGAGCTACTGATCATGTAAGTAAGGCAACAGAGATAACAGTGAGTCCTAAAAGCAAAGGGGGTGGGAGTGGGGTGGCTCACCCTCCCAGGTTGAAGTCCCAGGAATTTTCCTCCTTGTGCATACAGAATTGTGATTGAGGCAAATTGATATTTGATGCCTTGCATATCATGCTGGCATTAGTGCAGAGAATCTTTGATTGTCTGTTCCCTCTGTGGAGTCCTATGGATAAAACAGACCTCAGGTGATGGGTCTGGAGCTAGAAACCATTTGGAGAAGGTACTTTCAATCCATCCTTGTCCCCCAGACCAGTGTGTGGGGGCACCTGCAGACACACCCCTGCAATAGGGAAGCTTATGTCTGGAAAGGGCTTGGGGGGAATCTACCTGGCCACTTCCTTGTGGCTTTAACATACAAAGACTGAGACCTCTCTGACTGTCCTCTCTGAATGAGAGGTTGCAGCCTGGTGGGAGACCAGAAAGCAGAGGTGGATGTCACCGCACTCTGAAAGAGTTGAGGGTCACTCAGCTAGCATGTGGACATATCTTTTGGAGGTAACCGCTCAACCCACTATTCTAACCAGACCCCAGAATTAAACATACTCATCTGTGTAGTTACAGAAAGTAATGGACCCACTTGCTTCTTAGGGGTAAGGCTTTTACCCTAGACCAGTAGATCTTAACTGGGGGCAGTTTTGCCCCCCAGAGGGTATTCAACAATGTCTGGAGGCATTTTTGGTTGTCACACCTAGAAGGTGCTACCTATATGTAGTGAACAGAGGCCAAGAGTAGCACTTAACATTCCACAATGCACAGGAGGCCCTGTCTCCCCCCACCAACCAGTGGTGTAAAACGCCAATAGTATCAAGATTGAGAAATCTTGCCATAGACCTATGGCAAGGCTCAGAGTCATCAAGAACAGAGGTCTGCAGCAGGCAAGCTAGTCCCAGGAGAAAAAGGGTGTGAGCCAAGTTCACCAAGTCTCTTCCCAAATTTACCTCTCCCAGGGTGAGAGTGAGTAGGAATGGAGCTTGGGGATGGGGGCTGGGAGTTCTACTCATTGAGCTTCATGGACATGGAAGGAAAGTCCAGGAATGGGGAAGAAAGTGTCCTCCTTAGTAATTATTTTTTCTATCACTATTTCTGAAGTTGATACACATGCTGAGACTCAGAGCAACACTTATCCATGCCCACCTGACTGCAAAGCCTTTTTCCCTCAACCATACCATCTGCCCATGGACCAGATCTGAATTACCAAGTTCATTTGACAAAAATGTACCCAGCACATTCTGTGTGCCAGGAACTGCTGGAACTGTGGAAATAAAATGAGTGAGGCCACAGTCCCTATCTTCTCGGATATCGTGGTGTTAGGGGAGACAGACATGCGAACACATAGCATGCTAGCAATAAGAAAACATGGCAAAAGTTCCATGGAAGTTTGTAGAAGGAGCATTCAGCACATGGGCTCTACCTGTAGGAGTCTAGAAGGCAATGGTGGCTGCTGTTGTTGCTCAGTGACTGGCTTCCCTAGGTAGTCTGCTGCCAGGGGGAATCTTCTGCTCTGAAAGAGGCCAGAGGGAGGAACTTAGGTATCTGAGCTGGACAAAAGTAGGTAGAAGCTCTGTAAAAGGATAGGTTTTTGTTTAAAGGAAAGACTTGGTTGAACAGAGAGAACCATCTTAGATAACTGACTTGGGTGCTTTGGGAAAGCAGATGCCAAGACAAGATTAGAAGTCCAAGAAATGTACTGGGATAAAAGGAAATGGGAGGGAGAGTAAGAGGCAAGGCTACCGACCCTCTGTGGTCCTGAAAGGAGAGGGGGAGGAAGGAGAATTGGGCAGAGGAGCCTCAGAGGACCCTGCAGCCCTGAGAACATCTCAGCCAGGCCAGAGGGAGAACCAGAGCAGAGATGCCATCAGAGGAGTCCAGCTCCAGTACCACCGCTGTGCTCTGACGTTGGCTGGGAGCTGCATGGGGACAGTGTGGCCAAAGCATGACACTGATTGGATTCTGCCCCAGCAGTCAGCTCACTATACTCTGCCCAGAAAGTTCTCTCTTAATGGAAGTCTTGAGTGGTGCACTTCCATTGGCTATCAGAGTGGGCCAAGAGAAGTTCAGGGTCAGTAACAAAGGGTAGAATATTGAACATGGCAGAGACCTTGACTCAGGTAGTAGTAAAAATGAGGGCAGCAACAACAGGGCATAGCAAAGTATAGCAGATACCCACGCACACTGGGTAGGGCTGGAAGGGAAGCCGCCACAATGTCAAACTCAGGGACCTATTCTCAGCCCTCACCCTCTTCAATGTCTCTGTAGCAATGAATACCCTCAACCTCTCTTCCCTCTCAAAACTTTCTCCTCTTGGTTTCTGTGATGCTGCATTTATTGTTTTGATTGCTTTTCCAAGCTTTGATTGCTTCCTCCCTGGTTATATCTCTTTTGCTTGGCTTCTAGATGTAGGCATTTCCAAACTCTTGTTTTCCATTTTTTCTTTCTCTATAGTCTTCCTCTTAGGGATCATATGACTTACCTACCATCTCTGATCCCTGTGACATCTGTTTGTGGCCCTCATTCTCCTAAGAACTCCAGAGTTGGGCTCCCAAAACTCTGGGGAACCTCCACATTACACATGGCCTAGCATCTGGGTATCTTGCACATACATGGGATACACATGGAATATCCCCAGGCATTGAAAAGTTGAGAAAACTCCAAACTGACCTGCACTGAGAACTAACTTTACTTACTGACTTTGTGGCTCCTACTTGTGGAAACACAGAGACCCCAAGCATCACTGAGTCTTCTTTTCAGATCTCCTACAACCAGATGGACTGCTGTCTGAGTTTTATTGCCTTCACTGGGACAAAATGGCTCCATCCTGCCTCCTCCTCCTTGTATTGCTCTTTATCACAATCAGAGATTTGGGAGTTGTTAGAGGCCATACTTGAAGTCCTTTTGCTCCCCAAAAAGAAAAGATTTTTAGATTGTCATTGCTTCTCTCCTGGATTATACTAGTCACCTCTCAATGATGCATCCCCAAAGGGTGGCCTCAATAGCCTTCCAAACACCCAGGGAGATCACATCACAACCTTCAGCTACTCCATCGTCTCTGGGGCTTAGCATATCCCAGCAGTCCTTCTGGGATCCTTCAGTGACCCCAGAAGTAGCAGACCTTTCCATTTAGAGATACTTCAAGATCCCAATTTTAATGAGAAAAAAAAAAGGGCAGTAGTTACAGTCAGTGAGCTTATGTTTCTAGGCAGATCTTCAGTATTTACAAGGTTTGAACATTTTTCTCATCTCCAGGGCCCAAGAATTAGAATTGGAAGATCATCAAAGCAGACTGGAACAGAAATTAAGAGAAAAAATGCTCAAGGAGGGTGAGTACGATGATATGTTGTAGGCCCTTGTTAAAGATATTTTTCCCCAGAATGCACTTGGCACAGAGCTCACTGCACATCCCAGAGTGGGATGCTCTTCCTGTCTTGTGCAAGCAGCCTGGAGGCAGAGAGGAAGGCTAGACAGGCAGAAACTCACCACCTGCATAGCAAGTTGCTTCTGGCTTTGTTCACGTGGGCTATGAGGGCAACATTTTACTCCATCCCATGAGCTAACAGAACGGAATCGTTCACTCGCTTCCCCACATGTTCAGTTAAAAAGTATTTGCTGAGAGTCTAGTGTGGGTTTGGCATAGAAGAGCACCCCTGCCTTATGGTCTCACTGGGGAGGCCCACGTGCAAACCAGTGTTTGTTGTACAGTGAGATAAGGCCCAGGACACAGGTGCTTTAGGAACACCAAGGAAGGTGAGCCTAGTTCTGCCAGGCACCAGAGATGGTACAGGAAACACCCTTCCCAGTATGGGCCAGACCAGGTCAACACAGATGAGAAAAGAATTTCCACCACAAAGGCGGGAGAGTTGAAATAAATTCAGTTGGCACGCTCTGTTGATTTATGTATTCATTGGTTGCAGCCCCATAAGATACTGTTTTGTGGCCGTGTGTTCAGAGGACCAGATCCATGCATGGCTTTCCTACACTTAGGTCTAGGTCTAAATGGACATGTACAACAATTGCTTTACACCTCATGGACTAAACATACCTACCTACGGGGTTGCCTGGTACAGGGCAAGCCCCTAGTAAATTTTAGACATCATCTTCATGATTGTTTTTACTTAGGCATTTTATCCCCATTTTACAGTTTAGAAAACCAAGTCTCAGAACTTAAAAAGCACGCTCAAGATAACTAGTGAGAGGGCTAAGATTCAGCAACAGACTACCAAAGAGAGTCTCCTATTCTTTCCCACATTGTAATGATATGTAGACTTTCTTTATAGCAACAAAAATTCTATTTGTAACAAAATCTTTATAGCGCTGCACTGTATAGAACAGATAGAAGGGCTATACATCATTTTTATTTGTCGGAAGGGCTCAGATGAGTCCGTTGATGACAGGCCAACATTGAGAGAGGAATGTTTTATTTTTCTGTGTTGATTATCAACACTGGAATATACCCAGATTATCAAACCATAGGAGAAGGAGGAGTTAAGATGGTGGAGAAGTAGGGGTACTCTGGGTTTTCCTCATCCCTCAAACACAGCTGTATTGAGGTCAGATGACTTGATCAGGAAATTAATCGATGGAGTGGCAGAAGGATCTCCACGGTTGGAGGGAGACAGCATGCCAGGTACAAGGTGCGTGTACATGAACTAGGGGAGAAAGAAACAGCAGTACCACAGAATGGAGGGAACCCCTTCCATGGAGAGAGAAGGAGAAAGAAAGAGATAGGGAATGAGAGAGTATGATAGCAGGATTGCCCAAGAGGAAATATCACTCTGGACCATGAAATGGGGAGCAAGAAGTACTAAGTGTGGCAGGCTTTTTTTTTTTTTTTTTTTTTTTAATTTTCTTTAAATACAAGTTAGTTAATGGGGCGCCTGGGTGGCTTAGTCGGTTAAGCATCCGACTTTCACTTAGGTCATGATCTCGCGGTTCGTGGGTTCGAGCCCCGCGTCGGGCTCTGTGCTGACTGCCAGCTCAGAGCCTGGAGCTTGTTTCATTCAGTCTGTGACTCCGTCTCTCTCTAACCCTCCCCTGCTCATGCTGTCTCTCTATCTCTCCTAGAAATAAATAAAACATTAAAAAAAAATTTAAAAAAATAAATAAATAAATACAAGTTAGTTAACATATAGCTAAAAATAGTTTCAGGAGTAGAATTTAGTGATTCATCACTTACATATAATACCCAGTGCTCATCCCAACAAGTGCCCATCACCCATCTAGACCATCCCCCCACCCACCTCCCCTCCAGCAACCCTCGGTTTGTTCTCTGTATTTAAGAGTCTCTTATGGTTTGCCTCCCCCTCTGTTTTTACCTTACTTTGCCTTCCCTTCCCTATGTTCATCTGTTGTGTTTCTTAAATTCCACATATTAGTGAAATCTTATGATTTCTGTCTTTCTCTGACTGACTTATTTTGCGTAGCATAAATAAGACACTCTAGTTCCATCCAGCTTATTGCAAATGGCAAGAGTTCGTTCTATTTCAGCGCTGAGTAATATTCCAATGTGTGTGTGTGTGTGTGTGTACACACACACCACATCTTCTTTATCCATTCATCAGTCGATGGGCATTTGGGCTCTCTCCATAATTTGTCTATTGCTGATAACGCTGCTATAAACATCGGGCTGTGTGTGCCCCTTCAAATCAGCATTTTTGTATCCTTTGGATAAATATCTAGCAGTGCAGTTGCTGGGTCTTAGTAGTTCTATTTTTAATTTTTTGAGGAAGCTCCATTCTGTTTCCCAGAGTGGCTGCACCAGTTTACATTCCCACCAATAGTGTACAAGTACTCCCCTTTCTCCATATCCTCACCAACATCTTTCGTTTCCTGAGTTGTTAATTGTAGCCATTCTGAACAGGTGTGAGGTGGTATCTCACTGTGGTTGTGATATGCATTTCCTTGATGATGAGTAGTGTTGAGCATCTTTTCATGTGTCTGTTAGCCATCTGGATGTCTTCTTTGGAAAAGTGTCTGTTCATGTCATCTGCCTATTTCTTCACCGGATTATGTAGTTTTTGGGTGTTGAGTTTGATAAGTTCTTTATAGATTTTGGATGCTAACCTTTTTTTTTAATGTTTATCTTTGAGAGGGAGAGAGAGGGAGAGAGCGGTAGAAGAGGGGCAGAGACAGACAGAGACAGAGGATCAGAGGATCTGCACTGACAGCAGCGAGTCCGATGTGGGGCTCAGACTCACAAGCTGTGAGATCATGACCTGAGCTAAGTCAGAAGCTTAACCAACTGAGCCACACAGGTGCCCCCTGAATGCTAACCTTTTATCCAATATGTCATTTGCAAATATCTTCTCCCATTCCGTCAGTTGTCTTTTTAGTATTGCTGATTGTTTGCTTTGCTGTGCAGAAGCTTTTTATCTTGATGAGGTCCCAATAGCTCATTTTTGCTTTTTGTCTCCCTTGCCTTTCATAAGCTTTCTATAGTTTTCAGGGTACAGATCTTTCACTACTTTGGTTAGGTTTATCCTGTATCTTATGGATTTTGGTGCAATTGTAAATGGGATAAATTCCTCGATTTCTCTTTCTGCTGCTTATTAGTATAAAGAAATGCAACACATTTCTGTATGTTGGTTTTTATATCTTGCAACTTTGGTGAATTCATTTATCAGTTCTAGCAGTTTTTTTGGTGGAGTTTTTTGGGTTTTCCATGTAGAGTATAATATCATCTGTGAAGGGTGAAATTTGATGTCTTCTTTGCCAATTTGGATGCCTTTTTTTTCTTTTTGTTGTCTGATTGCTGAGGAACACATCAGGGATGTCCATTCTCACCCACCGCTGTTGTTCAACATAGTAATTTAAGTCCTAGATTCAGCAATCAGAGGTAACCAAAGAAGTAAAAGATTTGTATGCTGAAAACTATAGAACACTTATCAAAGAAACTGAAGAGGAACCCAAAAAATGCAAAAACATTTCATGCTCATGGATTGTAAGAACAAATATTGTTAAAATGTCTATATTACCCAAAACAATGTATACATTTAATGCAATCCCTAGCAAAATACTGTCAGCATTTTTCACAGAGCTAGAACAAACAATCTTAAAATTTGTATGGAGCCATAAAAGCCTCTAAATAGCCAACACAGTCTTGAAAAAGAATAGCAAAGCTGCAGGAATCACAATTCTCGACTTCAAGGTACAATACAAACCAGTAGTTATCAAGACAGGATGGTAGTGGCGCAAAAACAGACATGCAAGTCACTGTAACAGAATAAAGAACCCAGAAATGGGCCCACAACTACATGAGCAACTAATCTTCAAAGAAACAGAAAAGACTATCCAATGGAAAAAGGACAGTTTCTTCAGCAAATGGTGCTGGGAAAACTGGACAGCGACATGCAGAAGAATGAAACTGGACCACTTTCTTACACCGTACACACAAATAAACTCAAAATGGAAGAAGGACTAAATGTAAGACAAGAAACCATCAAAATCCTACAGGAGAAAACAGGCAGTGACCTCTTTGACCTCAGCTACAACAACTTCTTATGAGACATGTCTCCAGAGGCAAGGGAGACAAAAAGCAAAAATGAGCTATTGGGACCTCATCAAGATAAAAAGCTTCTGCACAGCAAAGCAAACAATCAGCAACACTAAAAAGACAACTGACGGAATGGGAGAAGATATTTGCAAATGACATATTGGATAAAAGGTTAGCATTCAGGGGGCACCTGTGTGGCTCAGTTGGTTAAGCTTCTGACTTAGCTCAGGTCATGATCTCACAGCTTGTGAGTCTGAGCCCCACATCGGACTCGCTGCTGTCAGTGCAGATCCTCTGATCCTCTGTCTCTGTCTGTCTCTGCCCCTCTTCTACCGCTCTCTCCCTCTCTCTCCCTCTCAAAGATAAACATTAAAAAAAAAGGTTAGCATCCAAAATCTATAAAGAACTTATCAAACTCAACACCCAAAAACTACATAATCCGGTGAAGAAATAGGCAGATGACATGAACAGACACTTTTCCAAAGAAGACATCCAGATGGCTAACAGACACATGAAAAGATGCTCAACACTACTCATCATCAAGGAAATGCATATCACAACCACAGTGAGATACCACCTCACACCTGTTCAGAATGGCTACAATTAACAACTCAGGAAACGAAAGATGTTGGTGAGGATATGGAGAAAGGGGAGTACTTGTACACTATTGGTGGGAATGTAAACTGGTGCAGCCACTCTGGGAAACAGAATGGAGCTTCCTCAAAAAATTAAAAATAGAACTACTAAGACCCAGCAACTGCACTGCTAGATATTTATCCAAAGGATACAAAAATGCTGATTTGAAGGGGCACACACAGCCCGATGTTTATAGCAGCGTTATCAGCAATAGACAAATTATGGAGAGAGCCCAAATGCCCATCGACTGATGAATGGATAAAGAAGAGTGGTGTGTGTGTACACACACACACACACACACACACACACACATTGGAATATTACTCAGCGCTGAAATAGAACTCTTGCCATTTGCAATAAGCTGGATGGAACTAGAGTGTCTTATTTATGCTACACAAAATAAGTCAGTCAGAGAAAGACAGAAATCATAAGATTTCACTAATATGTGGAATTTAAGAAACACAACAGATGAACATAGGGAAGGGAAGGCAAAGTAAGGTAAAAACAGAGGGGGAGGCAAACCATAAGAGACTCGTAAATACAGAGAACAAACCGAGGGTTGCTGGAGGGGAGGTGGGTGGGGGGATGGGCTAGATGGGTGATGGGCATTAAGGAGGGCACTTGTTGGGATGAGCACTGGGTATTATATGTAAGTGATGAATCACTAGATTCTACTACTGAAACCAGTACTTCACTAACCAACCTGAATTTAAATAAGTTAATTAAAAAATTAATTCAAAAGAAAAACTGAGTATGATATCTGATTTATACATCAAATAAGTTAAGTTTGCTCTGTTTCTGGATGGTAAAATAAAAACCACCAACAGACCCCATTAGCCATCTTTGAACCTTTTTTTAAAAAGTTTTACTAAAGAGTGAGGATCACACACATCTTCACTCCCCTTAGCTGATCTTCCATAAAAGCTCTAGCCCACTACTTAGCAAGAAAGGGAAAAAAGGAACTTTATTTATCCTCTCTAGTAGACACGGTCTGATGCAATAATTTAAAGAGTCCCTGTAGAAATGCTTAGTCTCTTTGGGATGAAAAAGTTCAGCCTTGGAGGTGGCCACCTTTTTCTTCTGCTTTTCTCCCTAGAGACAGGTAATAAGGAGAGGCAGGTTTTGTGACTTCCCAGCATTAGGCATCTGTGTTCGTTGCTCTGATTCACTGAGTCCCCACCCAGCTGTGTCCCATCATCCAACTGCCACTCTCTCCGCTGGTGTTTGCAGCTGAGATGTGCGGCTGGCTTTGTCCACAGTCTGGTCACTCCTCAACAAGCCTGGACCCTGGTGGCTGTCCCTGGCTTCCTCAGGCTCACCTCAGCACATCCTCCATTCACCTTGGCCAGACAGTCTCCACCATGGGACCACGTCACGCCTCATCATGGCGGAGCCCTCTGGGAGGCTCACTGACCACTTACCTTTGGCAGCTCTAGGGCCGGTGCCACTCTTAGGCCCCACCCGTGCCACACACAGCAGGTTGCGATCGGGGGAGCCACAGTCAGACCTTTCTCTGCCCAACCACAACATACCGCCCCGTGTGTATAAGGCACCCTTCCAGCTGGCTTCTTCCCAGAATTCCAAACAAGCGGGAAGGTAGGAATCCTTTGGCCCCCAGTGTTCCCATCAAATGGTATGACATGTCCTGGCCCAGAATAGAGATGCTGGAGCACAGGGCTCTTCCCTCTGCTTCTAACCTTCTCTCTCCCATATAACACGAAGTACCAAGCAAATGATACTTCTCTATCTCCCTTTTGTCATATATGCCTTCTTCCTGACCCTGTCCTCTGAACTAAACCTGATGTGAGAAACAGTGGCCCTTCTTTGCGCCAGGATCAGGCTCGCCACCTAGTCCCTGGTATGTTAAAGAGAAGGGGCTTAGGTATTTTTAAAGTCATCTCCCAAGGCAACAATCCGGTTGGCAAGACTTAAATCTGCCTTAAAATCTAGTTTGATTGTCAGAAAATCATTACTAGCTGTTTCTTACCCTTTCCCTCCCTCTTATAGCGATCTTCTGTCCCCCAGGCAATGGGACGCATCAGGCCAATTAGGAAGAAGTTCTTGAACTCGTAAGACAAAAGGGAAAACCTGTTCCGCAGTCTGGAGACACCATCCCATCGGCCACTCAGAGCCTTATTTTGCTTCTGCCTGGTCTTGACTCAAAGGGCTGTGATGTGACATTAACTGCAAATAAAAAAAAAAAAAGATTCTTGTCTTTGAAGTCATAGCCCCCGATGCAGATGGTTTACTTAGAAACTTTTCACATAGATTCCTTTGTTGCGGTTGAGACATGTTTAGGGAAAACAGCCTTTTTGTTGTTTTGTTGGTTTATTTTTATTTTTATTAATTAATTAATTTATTTTTTGCAAGGGAGGGGAGGCTTGGGGACTCTGTCGGGCCTGGCTGATATTCTTTTCCTCACAAAGGGATTTCCCCGTTTGCTTTGTATATACTCTCAAGATGAAAACTGAGCTGACTGCAGCACAAAGCACCCTCCTTGCTAATCTGTGGCTTCGAGAGAGTTCCCTGGTGTTAAATTCATTTCCTTGTTTTCTCCATGGAAATTAGAAGGCAGAACAAGTCCAAAACAATCAAGGACGCTGGTGCCAAGAGCTCTCCCTTGGCCTGAATGTTACCTGAGGCCCAATGCTTGTCATTTTTTTTGTTTTGTTTTATTTTTTCAGAAAGCCAGAAAGATGAGAATGATCAGAATGAGGAGCAAGAAATACTCAGCGAGATGATGCAAGTAATTGAACAAAGGGACAGACTCGTGGACTCCTTAGAGGAGCAGCGCATCAGAGAAAAGGCGGAAGACCAGCACTTTGAAAGCTTCATATTCTCCAGGGGCTGTCAGCTGAGCAGGACATGAGCAGCCCAAGGCGCTCCCCCCCGGATGCTGGCTGAGGGTCAGGCCAGGCACACCTCACTCACTCGCGGCTCCTTTCGTAGGATCTGCCATACGTGAAACTTAAGTGACACCCTACTGAGATTTCTTCTTAAAATTCTCCCATATGGAGTACAGCTGCCCGAGACCCTTTCAGAAATTATAATGAAGACTATACAAAGATGGTTAGGGAATTGGCAGTCACCTTGGTAAGGTCTCACACTGGAGGTGACCTTGGCAGATGACCAGCATTGTTTTCCCCGGAAAGTGACACAGGAATCGACTTGCCTGCTGTGTTTTTTTTTTTTTTTTTTTTATCACGTATCTCCCCAATTCATTGAGTTACACGTCTTAAGATTTTTAAAAAGCTGCCTTTTCATTCATATATCCATATTTGCCTTTTTTTTTCATGGATGACCGGTTTCCAAATGTCAGAAAGAAGCAGCCGCGGATTAAAGATTAGGTTAATATTTAAATTGTGTTTGCAGAGAAAGAGGAGAAACCTTGAGATTACTGATTACATAAAGCAAACATCTCTTATAGCAGGTGTTAATTCAATCCAGGGTGAATTTAATTTACCAATTGTATTTATAAGCCTTAATATAATATACATAAGCAATGAGAGTTTAATACAACATTTGAGCCTTAATTTTATTTTTAAAAAAATAGGGAAAGAAGGAAATCAAACTTTTAACTTCATACCTGCAAGACTGTTAGCGTTCACCAAATACTGCCCGCTTAGAAAAGCCTTTGTTCTCAGAGTCCTCTCCTTACTGTCTCTGGAACGTAGAGAAAAGTATTCCTAGAAAACGAATCGTTTTCCAGTGCTTTTTTATAACCGTTGGCAATGGCCAAAAGGGACACTCATTTGTTGATAAAGTATCAGTGAGGCCAGTAGTGCTACTCGGGATCCAAGGCGAAGAAAGCTTGCTGGTGGCAACATTCTCGGGTCCAAAGGGAAGGGTCTCCAGCAGTGTCTCTAGGGATTCCCCGGGAGCTCCCCGCGACAAGCACAGAACCACTTCTGACTTCACCCTGGAGCTGAGTGCAGTGACCCCATTTACCAAATGCCTCGATCGAATCTCATACCGGGTCATGGGGTTTTTTTTCTTTTTAAGTGACGTTTTCAATGTGAAAAGAAAGCCAGGAGATGGAATTTGTGCACGGACAGGAGATTCCTGGGTCCTCTTGATGGTTCATATGGGAACCAGAGAAACGATTTTAAATAGTGATCTGTTGTCATAAAGTATTTGATTGTTTACACTCAATGGGATTCTTTGAAGATTCAGTCTGTTGCTGACAAGAGACAGACTGAGGAACTCTTTGTTATATGTTTGGCCTCTCGTTTCTGCAAGTGTGTAAATGTGTCATGGAACAAAAGGTGCTTTGCAACACTTGGCTCTGACTGGAGACCTGACGCTCTGCAGTACACGTTGACCATGAACCACTGCTGTCCGAGATGCCGTCTGTGCACATGCATCTGGCCAGCTGATAAGCCAGAAATCAGAACTGTAACTGGATTTCCCAAGTGCACCAACGCTTTGGGTGGGGTTAAAAGGCAACCTTCCCGTGGGAGACCAAATTCTGAAGGTTGTCATTCTTTTTTCCTTCCTTCTTCTTCCTTTTTCCTTTATAAAAAAGACAGTCAGATCTTCTAGTGCCTGAATTCTATTGGGGAATATGTGCAGGCATCTATCTAGCTATCTAAACTATGCCATTGGTGGCTATTTATCTATTCTTATTTATATATTTGGTGGAAATTGCTAATACAATTTCCTCATAATTCTGATTTTCCTGTATTATAACTTGGAGAAAAGCTATTAGCACTTTCTATTGTTATATAAGCTATTTAACATACAAATAACCCAGATGTTTGGGGCAGTGAGTTACTTGTATAGTATTAAAGATTTATGGAGATAGTTAAAATAATATTTTCAGCCATCAGGCATTTAAAAATAAGACTCTGGATACTCAGGAATTTTAATTCCTTTAAAGAAAAAGATACAGAACTTCAGTTTTTATTCTGGAATAGTTAGAAATATTCAAACCCAGTGGTCTCTGTCAGTTCTAGGAAAATATGCTGCTTGCTACTTGCATATATGTAACATGATGCTCACCTGTGTAGTGTCTGGATTGTTATGATACAAAAGAATGTATTGCCACTTATTTTAATTTGTTCAATTTTCATCTAAAAGAAAGATCCTCCTCAGGCGGGCCAAGAAAGAAGGTATTTCTCGGCCCTCGTATCCTGTTAATAGATGAGAAAAGCAATTTGTTCATTTTCTCTCCCAAAGACTATGTTCTGGCATTGACAGCTGAGTCTTATGTGGCCAAGTTGAAACACAACACTCATACTTAATAGCCTTTGACTCACACCGGCTTTTAGTTTTACCAGCATTTAAAACCATTTCAATGAACATTTCCAAAACGACACAAATATTGTAGCTGGTGAATTATTTTGAACAATTCCATTCCTATTCACAATAAAGAACATCCTAAGACCCTCAAAGTCTGAAATACTGTATGTTTTAAAGACAGCTGCTTCATACAGTATGGGTAGGATTCTGGTGAAGACAGACAGCTTCTTCTGTCCCATAAAAGTACACTTGTGATCAAAGCTGGACACTTTAGGTCTCTGAATGAGACAGAAAGCCCCAGGTCCAAGTCATATTTCATGGCCAGTCTCACACGGCTTCTAAGTTAAGCTAGAGGGTTCATGATAGTTGCCAGTTTAGGATTTTACATAAGTCGGATCAAGAGGACATGTCTTAAGCTTGCTCTCCCAAAGCATTCATTTGTTGATCTCTTTGTTTAACAAACAATCTCTGAATGCCTGTGAGGTTGTGCAGCTTCCAGCAGGTGCTGCCATGAGGGAAGACTATTAGTCCTTCACTCTACCCACAAATAAACGCAAAGATAAAGAACTATTTCTATTATAAGCATCAGCCTCTTCTGCTCACATTTATCTCAAGTATAAAGACTTGTATCCCCCAACTGTTGTAGTGTTTCTTTGGCAATGAAAATAAGTTCGCTTCTAAAACTGTGAAAAATACTATCAGGTTGTACTGTTTCATTTAGACCTTGACTTTGGCAGTGTTAGGCTGCTTGGAATCAATCAATGCTGAGATGCAGCATGTTAATTGCAACCGAGAAAGGAAGTGGCAGGTGTTTCCAACTCTGATGAGCCGCAGTGAAATTGATGTTTTCTGCATTCTGGAGGCAAATGACAATTCAGCAGTGTCTGTCTTCCCAGGAAGCAGATTTACAGGCTTTTCCTACCAAACTGAAAATGGCAGCAAGTCCCACCCAGGTGGCTGATCAGAGAACTACCTCAGCAGGGCAGAAGTGGCAGCGGGCAGCTGGGGCTGCCACATGAACGGAGAGAGTGGCAGTCATTGGATGTGGTGAGCTCAAATGTAATTTATTGTAATAGGAAGGTTCACGTACAGGGGAGCGTGTACTATTTCACCTACTGTTTATCTTCAAACCTCACTGCTGAGTAGCTTGTAAAAGATTAATTTGCTCTGACAATTGGGAACTATTCATGTGGACTGAAATGCATTACGTGGGCACTGCTATAAATACTGAAATGAACCAAAAATAAATGGTTTTCTGTTGAAGGAATCAGAACATTTTCATGGGGGGGGGGGTTGGTCTGGCACCTCTGGGGGCAAGCGTCCATTTCATTTCTTTCTTTCCAGTGAAAGGAGCGGGGCAGAGCTTTGATTTCATGTGGGAGTCTGTGACTTAACAGTTGGATGCTTTATCCCATTGGGGCACCTGGAGGGACTTAGCTGACCAGCACGTTGGACTTGAGCAAAAAGAGGAGTGAAAAAGTTTTGCCTCAGGTGTATTCTTTCAACAAAGAAAGTTACCCTTGGGGAGGGGAGGGGGAAAGATGGAGCTGATCCTGGCTTACCTCCTCATTCCTCTTACCTTCTTACCTGGCATGGCTTGGTTTTATATTTCATTCACTCAGGAGAAATGCTCCCATCTGCCCTGAACTGGCCTCTTTCTTCAATGCACACTTTGAGGACCAAGTTTGTTTGTTTCTGTTCTTAATCCCAGTGCGTGCAAATGTTCATGATATGTGAGAGCATCCTACATCACAACTGCCACATCAGGTTAACCAAGTGGTCAGTCCCCAGCATTTCACGTGGAGTTCCTCCTTTGTTTGAAAGCTCTTGTCTGCTGATGGAATATTTGCAATGATCCATTTGTTCTCCATCGAAAATCAACAAAAAGTAAACATAACTGCAGATAAGAGCCCCTGTTTGGCAAGCGCTAACGTTGCGGCAGCAGGGAGAGCACCAAGGCCAGTGATGGCACTTTGCAAGTTTTCCTTGTGCCCTTGCCGGGGCTCATCTGGCCTCCTCCGGCTCTCAGAGCCACGGACTCAGCCACGCGCTGGCCTATTAGCTGCCGCTCACCATCACTCCGCCTTCAGGGCATGTGTGGTAGTTCCATGCTCACTCCCTCTCACAGCTGGTTTCTGGAAAAATGACAAGCACAACCAATGCTGTCAGGGATCCCCTGAGGAGCCCCTCAGTCTCTGATCAGGGTACTGGATACTGTGAATTCAGCTCGCCTCACCTGCCAGGTGCTGTAGTAAACTCTGTAAGTGTGTTGTGCCATTTAATCCTGAAAGCAAAAATCCTTAAGATACTCCACTTTTCAGATTAAGACTGAGACACAGAGGCTCAGCTTATCTTGTATTCTAGGTACGAAGTAGTTGACCTGGGGCTAGATCCAGGTGTTAGCCTCCAGAGCCTGGGCCCTCGACCACCAGGCTGGACAGCCTTACCCTGCATCCCCACCAAGGCCTGTATCTTCTGTTGACCTGTTCCTTCCCTTCCTTTCCTAGATCGGTCCCCATTGTCACACTCCCCCAGCACCTCACAGCCCAGCCCTGATCAGGGGAAATATGGGAATGGAAGGAAGCCAAAGCTGTCCCTTTAAAGTGCTTTGTGTTTCCTTCCATACTGCTTCTATAGAGACTCTAACATGAAAGCAATGATCTAGAACAGTTAAGTAACCTAACCTCCACCACCCCTCACAAAAGTCTCTGAATACACATGATACTCTAGGAAGATACATCTTTGTTTATATTGGGTGATTGAGTACCTCTGACACACTACCATGGACCACCAGGGCACTTTTGTGCCCCAAAATTGAGAAGCGTGGCACTACATAGTCAAATCCCAGCTCCCAAAGCTAGGGAAGCAAGAACACAAGGCTGAAGGGAAGGGAGAATGTGTCCATGGAG